TTTGTAAGATAGAAATTCACGTAAAATATGTCTAGTGTTAGCTACAAGTTCACTGCCATCCGGTGGTATATTTCTATTCTGCTGTCATCAGTATGTGATTTCTTCCTCAAGAAACCCTCTTGACCCAAGATACTCCAACATGCCGGTTATCCATCCAAACTCCAGGCAATGGGACAAAAGCTGATAAAATCCCTTTCGGGTGCTGTTCCAGGCATCTCTGTGGAACATTACTGTTTACATGCCTTTGGTCAGAACACAGTCGTGCTGACAGCGCGGCAAGGGAGGCTGAGAGCTATAGTCTCTTCAGATGGGTAGTGTGGCTTCTAGAGCAGGCAATTGGAGATGAGCAAAGCAGAAAACAGGAAGAAAAGATAAGAACCACCAGACAGCTAGAGGCACCTGTCATTTTGAATACAGCAAATCAACCCTAAAAACTGGCAAATGAAGAAACATCCACATCTAATAAATTCAAGATATAGATTCGTATTAGGGAACATACTGGCTTCCAAAAGAAACTAACTTACCCCTCCTACTTAGGTTACCATAGAATGAGCTTTTTACATATTTCCTACACACAGAATAAGTTTACATTCATAATAGGAGGCAATCATATGTTCTCCAACTGGACTATATGAAATGGTTGGTGTTTTATAAAAGTGTAGGATAATGGGAAGATTTATAATTCATCCTATATAAATCTCCTATCATCTGGGGGTGTGGTCTGTGGTAGAGCATTTGACTGGCATTTGACCCCCAGTACGGAACCAATCAACCAAAGCAGCAAAAACAAAACCAGCAAACAAAAAACAAGCTTCTCCATCACCTCCCCCTTCATGGTTATGACCCTGTTGAGGCAGCTTGGGGCAGCTCTCGCTAGAGGAGAGTTACTGCCATCTGCTGGGGAACTGCAACATTAACCCTTCAAATTACCACCCAGGCTTCAAGGCACACACACACACACACACACACACACACACACACACACACACACACACGCTCACGCACAACTTAATTTCTTAATTAGTTATAGTTCTCCACTATGACACTCAAAACCAAATCTAGATAGTTAATCTGGTTAAGCTACTCTAGTCTGACGTGTGTGATGACACACATCTGTAAATCAGCATTTGGAGGGCTGAGACAGGACAGTCTCAGAGTACAGGGCCAGTCTGGGCTATATAGCAAGCTCCTTAATTTCAGGGAGTTCACAACTCAAAGGCTTCAGGAAGTCCCTGAAACTGACTCGATACACAAAGACCCTCCTTCCTCAAGCAGCAAAGACTCCTGAGAAACACTTTCGAACAAGCTAATCTCCCAGAAAAGGTTCAGACCAGCTGAGTAGCCTGGAAGATACTCTACAATCTGTTTAGTTACATGTAGGTTGCTCAGTGAGATAGTTCTCAGCTTTTTTGAGCTGTTACAGATACTAGAATGGGCCTTGGTGCTGCAACTGTCTTTGAGTCATTCCTGTAAGTAACCCCTCCCCCATATTCCTGTAGGTAACCCAATAAAACCCATCTATTCAATTGAACTTTGGTGATATCTGTATTTTTCTTTGTTGTGAATAGACATTTGTTCACACACCCCAGGAATAGTGTCACACAACACATGGTGACTTATGAACTATAATCCTAGTACTTGGAGGCTGAAGTAGGGAGGTTACCATGAATTCAAAGCCAGGTTGTGCTACATAGTGAGTTCCAGAGCAGCATGAAGTACAGAGTGAGACATTATCTCAACAACAACAACAACAACAAAAAGAAATCAGAGAGTTGCAATCCTCCTGTACTATTTAGGAGCGATTCTCTGGGTGGGAAACAGAATGAGCAGAAAGGCCTTTCATTCTACATTCCAAATGACAACACTGCTCTTAGCTTACAGAGAGAAGTCCTAGGAGCAAATACCCAAACATCAGATACAATTCCCTGTGTGCCTTTGCTCTTTCCTTTTAATATTGTAATTATATTTTACTGATTTGTGTATGTGTACATGTGAAGATGAGAGAAGAACTGTTGGGGTCTGTTCTCTTTCCATCACATAGGTCCTTGGAATCAAAGTCAAGTTGTCGGGATTGGTGGTGAGCACCCTTACCTACTGAGCCATCCCACCAGCCACCATCTGCTCTCAATACAGCATACACAATGATTTAAGAATTTGTCCATCTGAGTGCTCGGGAGGCAGAGGTAGAGTCTCTGAGTTTGAGGCCAGCCTGGTCTGCAGAGTGAGTTCCAGGGCAGCTGGGACTACACAGAGAAATCCTGTCTCAAAAAAGAGAAGAAAAGAAGAAGAAGAAGAAGAAGAAGAAGAAGAAGAAGAAGAAGAAGAAGAAGAAGAAGAAGAAGAAGAAGAAGAAGAAAAGAATTTGTTCATTAAGACAAGCTTTAACAGTTGAAAGTGGGTTGTGACTTTTTTTCTTTTTACAATACTCTTTATAGATCTGTAATTTCTTCTTCCTCTCCACCCTGCTGTACTGAGCTATATACCCAGCTCTCTGCTGATTTCAGTTGCAAGTTTTGGGTTTGGTCATTTGGTTGGTTTTTGGTTTCTGAAGACAGGGTTTCTCTGTATAACAGCCCTGGCTGTCCTGAAACTTGCTTTGTAGACCAGACTGGCCTCAAACTCACGGAGATCTACCTGCCTCTGCCTCCCAAGTTCTGGGATCAAAGGTGTGAGTCACCACACCTGGCTCAACTACAACTTTATAAATCTTGTTCTTTTTCTAGGAAGGGATGGGCGTGCATGCCTGTAATTCCAGTGCTACAGAGGCTGCTACAGGAGAATTGCTGTAAATTCAAGCCCACCTGGAGCTACGTCAGTGAGTACCAGACCAGCCAATGCTACACAATGAGACCCTGTCTCCAAGGGGGAAAAGCAAAATAATTATAGTGTTTACATGAGAAAAGACACAAGAGTTTCTTCAAATATTTAAAAATATAAGTCCTGTCTTTGGGAGGAAATTAAGAGGCATGAAATAGACTGCAAATTTTCAGGTCAATTCATTTTACTCAGAGGCTTGAAGGTGAGAATTGGCAAAAAGGTCCACAAAATCTTATGTCCTCCACAGAGCAGAAGTCCCTAGCCACGTTGTCACTCTAGACTAACTTCTTACTCTTTTAATTTAAAATGTTTCTATTTGAACGGGAGGGGTCACGTCACGCATGTGTGTGCGGTGTGCTTGTGCAGAGGCTAACTTCTTATTCTTTTAATTTAAAATGTTTCTATTTGAACGGGAGGGGTCACGTCACGCATGTGTGTGCGGTGTGCTTGTGCAGAGGCTAACTTCTTATTCTTTTAATTTAAAATGTTTCTATTTGAACGGGAGGGGTCACGTCACGCATGTGTGTGGTATGGGAGGGGTCACGTCACGCATGTGTGTGTGGTGTGCTTGTGCAGAGGCTAACTTCTTATTCTTTTAATTTAAAATGTTTCTATTTGAATGGGAGGGGTCACGTCACGCATGTGTGTGGTATGGGAGGGGTCACGTCACGCATGTGTGTGGTGTGCTTGTGCAGAGACTAACTTCTTATTCTTTTAATTTAAAATGTTTCTATTTGAACGGGAGGGGTCACGTCACGCATGTGTGTGGTATGGGAGGGGTCACGTCACGCATGTGTGTGGTGTGTGCTTGTGCAGAGACCAGAGGAGGCTGCAGGCCGTTTCCACTCTACCTCTCTGACTTCTCTGAAGATGGAGTCGCTCACTAAGCCTGAAGATTTGGACCTCTCCACTTCTTCAGGCCTTGCTGCCCAGGGCGCTTCTGCCCTCACAATGCTGGGGTCACAGGTGTGTGGCTATGCCCAGTTTTTCCCCCCACAGAGATGCTGGGAATTCTAATTCAGGCCCTCATGTTTATACAGCAAGCACTCTTATCAACTGGGACATCCCCTCAGTCACTAGACTTACCACACTCCCTGACAAGCCTCTGCAGCCCCGTGAAGTGTCATCTGATGCCTTGAAGACTTGATTCAGTAAATCAGTACTTTTGCTTATAAAGCTTAGAACTTTGGGTAAATGTGATTAAAAAAAAACCTAGGGCAGGGAGGGTTTTCCGTTTGGACCCCATGCCTACGCCACCCCAGTGTAATATTATTTGAGATGTCTACCCTTGAAAGTGGTCCTGCTTTAGGCCCTCAAACAGAATACCGTTGTATTGAAAAAGATGCTTAGCTGCTTCAGAACATGTCTGGAAACTGAAAGGATAATTCTATGCAGTTATCGGTGAGAACTCGTCTCACTTGGCCCAGGCTCGCCTCAAACTCCTTTTGTAGAAGAGGATGACCTCTGACCCTTCTACCATCACCTCCCCAGTGCTGGGATTACAGGTGCCACCTCCATTCCTGTTTTATGAGATACTGGAACAGTGTTCCTCCTGCAGGCTAGGCAAACACTCCACCAACTGAGCTAACCGCACCCCAGGCCTGACGCGCCCAGTCCTTAGAGGCTGAATTTCATTAAGCCACCAAATGTGTTGCATTTGTTACAGCAGCCCAGGTAACCAATACAAAGTACTCTCAACTTACCTATTATAAGGACAGCTGGAGCCACAGTATGTAAGTGTGAAGCCACAATACATAAGGGATTCTAGGCCTGAGAGCTTGTTACAAAAATGCAAACAAGCAAACAAACAAAAGACCTCCTGTCTGGGTCTCTTTGCTGCTTACCCAGTTTATTACCAGTTTATAACTGCTCTTCCCTACTCGTGTGTGTACATTTGTTCTCCATTGAGGGACGGAGCTGATCTCTCCTGGGAAACGCTGAGGATAAGCTTGCATGCCCTCAACAGGGGCCCTGTCCCTTGCTCATGGCTCTTTCGAAGCTCTGCCTGGGATCTCTTCTAGAGCTGCTTGGGTGAGGCATGCCTCCTGGCCTGGATCGCCGGCTATCCGGCTTGTTCCCCAGGAGGCAGTGGCCAGGTCGATGCTCACGCGGCAGCTCAGGCCCCGCGCCCCCCGCCCGCGTCTGCGGCTGCGCGGCCGGCCCGGGAGGGGGCGCGGCGGGCAGCTGGGAGCGGGGCCGCGAGCGGCATGTCTCGTTACACCAGACCCCCCAACACCTCCCTGTTCGTCAGGAACGTCGCCGACGCCACCAGGTGAGCCAAGACGGGACTCCGCGGGAGTACGGACCCGGGCGGCGGGGTGTCTGGGTGCGGGCTGGGCGGTGGGCTCGCTGGCTGTCAGATGCAGGCCGGGTGCCCCGGTGCCAGGTTGCAGGCTGTCGGGGTGCCAACCGGCTGTCGGGGTACCAGTCGGGCATTGGAGTGCTGGACAGGTGTCAGGATACCGGAATAAGAGGTGTCCGGGAGTCGGGGTGCTGACCAGGTGTTGGGGTGCTGTCATGATGACAGGATGCTGGCCGGGTGTCGAGGTGCGCGCGGGCTGTGGTGGCAGTGCTGGCCCAGGCCCTGTTGTCACTGCATCCTGCTGACGCCGCCCACTAACCTTCCGGAGGAACTGGGGCTATCTCATCTCAGGATGCGCACCTTAGGCCTTGCAATTTCCTCTGCGCTATTCAGACAGTGCTTATGGCCCAAATTTAATATACAAGGCCAGCCTGGTCTACAACAAGTTCCAGGACAGCCAAAGTTGTTACACTGAGAAACCCTGTCTCTAAAAACATATTTATGTATGTGTGTGGGGGGGGGAGTCAATTTGATGTACATGTTTTTTCTTTGAGTGCTGGGAACAGTCTTATCCTTCATCATGGTTAAGTAGTCAGTTTCAATGCTGGGAGTCTATCCCCTCCAGCCCTCTTTGAAAATTCTGTCTAGATGATGCCAAGCATAGAGCTTGAGAACTGCCCCTTCTCATATATCACTTTTTCCTTTAATAGGAGCCAGAGGGAATGGGAGGGGGGACATTAATAGACACCTTAATTTCACTGAATTACTTAATCCACTTTCTACTCTGCAGTCTTGTCCATTTAAGGAAAAGTCCTAGTTCAAGGATTTTAAGGCGTTACCTGGACCCAAAGAGTCACAAATCTATGCAACACTTCACTTGTAAGTTTTCAGGGATAATCCTGATTTAAGTTTTGTTTTGTTGAGACAGGGTCTGTATCTAGTCCAGGCTGGCCTCAAATCCCCTACATAGGCTAAAACAACCTCCAACTTCTGATCCTACTGCCTCCACCTCCCTCCCAAGTACTAGGATCACCGGCGTGTGCCACCACTAAGATAACAATTTACTTTTAGGATATTAAGTGTTTCAAATCTGATCGTTACAAATTTATATGCCACAACTATAGACTGTGAATCAATGGAATTTTAAGATGCCTGTGTTTTATTGTTCTTCTCTTGACCTGTTTATCAATAGTCAGAGAAGCAATATTTAACATTTGGATAGGCTTTTAAAAAATCTCACACTTAGACAACTTGAACAATAAGCCCCAGGTCTTCACGGCATCTTTACAAAAGAAACCCCAGAGATGTCCACTTCTAATGGCCACAAGAGCTAAGCAGAGTAATACAGGTGAGTAAACAGTCAGCTTCCAGGGCATAACAGAAGGGTATGGACTGCAGCAAATGAGCATTTACCATCTAATGGGGAAGTCACGTTGCCACTTTTTTTCCCACCACGTAGGTCCCAGGGATAGAACTCAGATCCTCAGGCTTCGAGGCAGACGTCTTTATTCACAGAGCCATATGGATAGACCCTCATGCAGCTTAACATTGCCAACGTTTTAAACTAGTTCGGTCAGGCTGTCGTGGAAGAAGAGAATAACTCCCTCAAGTTGTCCTCTGACCTCACATAAGCCATACCCACACCCACACATGATAACTAAATAAAGATGTATTCAGTTGAATAATGTGAATTCTCATGTTTGTAGATTTGGAAGCTATAAAATATCAGCTGCTTCATGTTTCTATAATGCTCAAACATTGTGCATACTAAATAAAACACATCTGGGCTGGGGGTTGTAGCTCAACGTAGATTGCAGTTAGGCCTTGGGTTCTATCCCCAGCGCCATAAAGTAAAACAAATGAAAACATGTCTTCATGTGACCACTAACCTTGGATCCAGGTAACCCTCCACTAAGTGCTGAGACTGATAATTGAGAGTTACTAATCCTAGTTTCTGTTCTTAAATCATCTTCTAGCCCACCACTGGGGAGGTAATCAAAACTGAGATTATTTTGTATCAAGAGACAACATGCCGGCAAAGCACCCGTACACACAAAATAATAATTTTTAAAAAGTAAAAACATTATTCTAGGTTTTGCATGTTTCCATATAAAACTTGGTGGATTTTTTTTTCAATTTATGTAAGGAATTGTGCTGAGGATTGTGTTGAATCTGTAGATGGCTTTTGATAGGCTGACCATTTCACAATATTAATTGACCTATCCATAAGCATGGGAGGTCTTTTCTTCTGGTATCTTTTTCAGTTTCGGCAATTTCTTAAAGTTTTGATTATGTCAGTCTTTCACTTCCTTAGTTAAATTTATCCAAAGTTTTTGTTTTGTTTTGTTTTTTGAGACAGGATTTCTCTGCATTGCCCTGGCTGTCCTGGAACTCACTCCATAGACCAGGCTGACCTCAAACTCACAGAGATCCGCCTGCCTCTGCCTCCCGAGTGCTGGGATTAAAGGCTGTGCCACCAACGCCCGGTTACCTCAAGATTTTAAAAAAGATTTATTTATTTATGTGTGCAAGTGTTCTGCCTGCATGTGTGTCTGTGCACCGTATGCATGTCTGATACCCAAGGAGGTCAAAGAGAGCACCAGATCCCCTGGATCTGGAGTTATGGACAATTGTGAGCTGCCATGTAGTTCCTGGGAATAGAACCCAGGCCCTCTGCAAAAACAAGTGCCCTTAACAACTAAGCCATCTCTCCACTCCTCCCAAGATAATTTTTGAGGCTATTGTGAATGGTACTGTTTCTTTATTTCTCCCTTAGTGTGTAAACTTCCAAGTTTACCATTAAGTTGTTAATATAAGAATGCACAAGCTTTTTGATGAAGGCACTTAATATTAACTTTTTCCTCTTAGAACCACCCTCATTGTGCCCCATAGATATTGTGTCTTTGTTTCACTTAATTCTAGGAAGTTCTTTAATTTTTGTGATTTCTCCCTTGAACTAGTTTCCATTAACTAGTGTGTTGGTCTAGTTTCCATGAGTTTGTGTACTTGCTGCCATTTCTATTGTTGTTGATACACATACAGATTTTCTCTTTTATGGTCAGATAGGCAACGGAATGGTATTTCAGTTTCCCTATGTTTGTTGAGATTTGCCTTGTATCTTAATATGTGGTCAGTTTTGGTGAAAGTTCTATGAGCTGCTGAGAAGAATGTGTGTTCTTTAGCGTTTGGGTGAATGTGCTGGATATTTATTAGATCTGCTTGCTTTATGATATCATTTAACTCCAGGGTGTCTCCATTTATTTTTTGTCTGTTGTGACCTGTCTGTTAGTAACAGCTGGGTATTAAAGTCACCCACCACCGTTGTGTGAGAGTCAATATGTAATTTTAGAGTTAATGTATGAAACTAGTTGCCCTGTTTTGACACATATATTTTTAGAATTAGAATATTTGGCTGGTGGGCTTTTCTTTAATTGAGTATGGAGTACCCTTCCTTAACTCTTCTCATGAGTTTTTGTTTAAAGTCTGTTTTGTCAGATAGTAGAATACACTTGCTTCCTGGTACCATTTGCTTGAGATGGTATCTGCTCTAGATGGTGTGTTTCTTGGAGATAGCACAAAGATGGATTGTGATAGTCTGTATCCTTTTACTGGGGAACTGAGACCATTAATACTGACAGTCGTTGTTGAAAGTGTTTATTAATTCTTGTTTTGTTACTGTGGTGTTGTTTGCTCGGACTTCTGACAACTGGTGCCTCCCTGGGTGTGTTTAGTCTTCCTCTCAGACCAAGGTATTCCCTCCATTATCCTCTGCAGAGCTGGTTTAGTGGGTATAAATGCCTTAAATCTGTTTTTATCATGAAATATTTTATTTCTCCTTTCATTGCAACTCCTAGTTTTGCTGAGTATAGCGGGCTGGGTTGGCATCTGTGGTCTTTCAGAACTTGTAGAATGTCATTCCAGGTCCTTCTTGGTTTGGTGTTCTCCAAAGACTAATCAGTGTGTTGGTGACTGGAGAGATGGCTCAGCAGTTAAGAGCATTGGCTACTGTCCCAGATGACCTGAGTTCAATTCCAAGCACCAAGAGATGGCTCACAACTATCTGTAACTCCAGTTTCAGGAGCTCTGATGCCCTCTCCTGGCTTCTCTGAGCACCAGTCATACAAGCAATGCAACCTACACACATGTAGGGAAAGCACTTTTACACAGAAAATAAAAGTAAATCTTAAAGAAAAATCACTGTAGCTGGGCGTTGGTGGCGCACGCCTTTAATCCCAGCACTCGGGAGGCAGAGGCAGGCGGATCTCTGTGAGTTCGAGGCCAGCCTGGACTACCAAGCGAGTTCCAGGACAGCCTCCAAAGCTACAGAGAAACCCTGTCTCGAAAAACCAGAAAAAAAAAAAAGAAAAATCACTGTAATTCTGATGGACCTGTCTTTACATGTGATTTGATCTTTCTCTCTTGCAGCTGTTAATACCCTTTTTTAGTTCTGTACATTAAGTATTTTGGTTATTATGTGTTGTGAGGAGTTTCTTACCTGATTCTGTCTATTTGGTGTTCTGTATACTTCTTGTACCTTGATAGGCACCTCCTTCTTTAGATTGTGGAGAATTTTTTCTATGATTTCATTGAAAATATTTTCTTTGCCTTTGACCTAGTTTCTTCTCCATCTTCTATACTTATAATTTATAGGTTTGATCTTTTTATAGTGTAATGGTGTAACCTGCAATCCTGAGCACCTGGGCGGCAGAGGCAGAAGGACTGTGAGTTCAAGTCCAGCCTGGTCTACATGGCAAGACTTGGTTTCCCCACCCCACAAAAGAAAGAAATGTGGATAATTGTTACCAGAGACTGTTCTAGAAACGGAGTTTAGCCAATAGTCTTTTTTATTTTTTCTTGTATTTGTGCATAGGCCTCTCTCTGTATTGTTTCTCTCCACCCCCCCCTCCTCTCTCTCCATGCTTGAAGATTAAAAGCCAACTTGCAGGAGATGGTTCTCTCTTTCCACCTTGTGGGTTATGGTTTTGAACTCAGGTGTTTAGGCTTAGCTACACATGCCTTTACCCATTGAGCTAACACACTTTGTTTTGAAAATTTCCATTGGATTTCTGTAGCAAAGTGTGTATTCCAGCTGTTTATCGCGTTGTTTCTGTAACACTCCAGGCCCGAAGACTTACGCCGAGAATTTGGTCGATATGGCCCCATAGTAGACGTTTACATACCACTTGACTTCTACACTCGCCGCCCCAGAGGATTCGCTTACGTTCAATATCCTTTATCTTATGTATGCATGCAAATATACTTCATACATGTGCTTATACACATGTGTATTTAGGAGTGTATGCTATCAGATCAACATTGCCTAATTAAATGTCTTTGTTTCTTTATCTCAGAGAATCTAAGACAGTCCACAGCAGCTGGCAAGGGCCCCGCCTCTCAGCTTGGTTCCCCTTATTAGCTAGACTCCAACCACAAGCCTAGCAGGCATGACAAAAGGCACCCAAGTTCAAGCAGAGAGTAAAGAGGGAGGGTGGACACAGGTGTAAAGCCTGGAAGAATGAGGCTTTCCTATATTTATTCAGGGTTCTTGAGTCAAATCCAAGTCTGATTTTATTGGTTCTACATCTCTGATAAAGTCTACTCTGCAAGTCCTACACTGAGGTCATTGCCAACCTCCTTTTGTATGCAATATTTGAGCTTCCTTGTTTATTTGCTATTTTAAGAAAACTAGTAACAAGGCCCAGCATGATGATTCACACCTTACTAGCAGCTTGGGAAGCAGAGAGATTCTCTGTTGGTTCAAGGACAGCCTGGTCTATATATGGAGCTGCAGGCCAGCCAAACTACAAACTACAAAATGAGAGAGAGAGAGAGAGAGAGAGAGAGAGAGAGAGAGAGAGAGAGAGAGAGAGAGAGAGAGAGAGAGAGCGAGCACTAGTAAACAACCTTCTGAAATGGAACTATTTCCATTTTACACAGCTACTGTCCATTATAGTAAGGCTTGGGACCATATGCTTTAGATAAGGGAATTTAGAGGGGCATTTCAAATCAGTCTGTATGATTCCAGATGGTCACAGATTGTTTCTGGATGAAAAATAGACATGATTTCTCCTAGATCTGGCTGAGGAAAAAAGTTCCCTGTAGATATGGGAGAGAAGACAGCCAGAGGCATCAGGAAGGGCCGGGACTGAACTAGACCATGGAGATGGGGTAGGCAGGACAAGAGAGTAACGAGAACCCAAGAGGCCAAGACAGCATGTATCCAAAATGGCTGTCTTGTACAGGGAAGAAAAGCTGGAGGACGGGAAGGGAAGCTCAGGGACTGGTTAGGGTAGGGGATAGGATATGCCAGTCAGGATGACACTGGAAAGCCACATGTGATGCTGAGAGACAGGTGGCCAGGGTCCATTCTCCTATGTTAATAGGCACTCAGTTAACCATCTTCCCAGGCTGCAAGACCTAATAATTTTCTGTTAATTTATACTTACATCCCAGTAGTGACACAAAGGGGACGGTTGGAAGTAGTAGGTTCAAAGGTGGGCACTGTCCTTAAAGGATTGAAGTAGACCCTTGTGTTAGCTTTCTTTTATTGTTGCAATTTTGTTTACAATGAGTCATTTCTCCGAAACTTCATAACTAGACTTTTACCGATAGAGTACTTTTACTTGCAGAATAAAAACTTCTGCATGTTGATATTTTCAGTGAAATCCCTGATGGATCCTTTCTGAAAAGGTTTGGGGGGTGACAATAAGCCCTAAATAGTTTATTTTATAATGTCAGCTAATTTGAGATTAATTCTTTTCTCACATTTCAAGTTATGCGCTAACTGTATCTACTGTTCTATTTTTTATTCATATTTCTAAATCACAAGAGGGCATTTGTCTTCATAATAAAATATAAAAGCTTTTCTGGTTATTCCTATTGGAGCCAGAACTTGTTTTATTTTTGTCAATTTAATTTCACATATAAATATTAACCTAGAAATATTTTTGCTTACCATCTGATGTCCATAGTGTCCTTAACAGCTGATCATGTTTGAAGATGTTCGAGATGCTGAGGATGCACTTTATAACCTCAATAGGAAGTGGGTATGTGGCCGGCAAATTGAAATACAGTTTGCACAAGGTGATCGAAAAAGTAAGTGTAAATGACCATTAGATCTCCATTACTTAGCAGGACTGTTACTGTTACAGAGTGTGAGCAACAGTAGCATGTCATTTAAAGTTCTTCACTTTAAAGACCCACTGAGTGGCAGCTACCGTGGTTTTTAGGTAGTGAACTGTTAGAAGCCTTGTTCTTCATATTCTAGCACCCGGCCAAATGAAGTCAAAAGAACGGCACCTGTGCTCCCCAAGTGACCACAGGAGATCCAGAAGCCCCAGCCAGAGGCGATCTCGAAGTCGGAGTTCATCATGGGGAAGAGACAGGAGGCGGTCAGACAGTCTGAAAGAGTGAGTACCCAAAACAACAGTGCACCATTTCATTTTCTGATTTTCGGGGGAAACATTTTAAAGAATTACTGGGGGCAGGGACTACTTAAATGACTTTGTTTAATATGCACAAACAAGCTTCTGTGGAAATTATGCTGTTCTCTATAGAAGATTGGTTCTGTTTGTTTTCCTAGACAGTGGGGTTGAACTCAGGACCTGGCACGGGCTGGCAGGTACTATACCTCTACACAGGCAGTGGGGCTGTATTCCTAGCACCCCCTCCTTTTTAGACAGGGTCTTGTTATTGTTATTTAATTGTGTGTTATAAGTATATGCTTATGTCTGTGTGTGCACATGTATGCATTATGCATGTGAGTGTGCATGGGTGTGGTTAGAGGTTTATATGGGGAGTCTTTCTCTCTACCTTGGTTCTTGGCAATGGGGGTCTATCACTTAATCTGAAGCTCATCCTGAAGGCTAGACTGACTGCCAGTGAACTGGAATCCACCTTTCTCCACCCCACCACATCCCCCATTCCTGGGTTTACAGATGGGCAACACTACCTCCTAACTTTTTAAAGGTGCTATACAATCCAAGCTCTCTTTGAACACACTATTTAGCCCAGGTTGGGCTCAAATTTGAGATGATCCTCCTGCCTTAACCCCCAGGTTCTGGGATTACAAGCACACATCACCACACCTAGCTCATATATTGTTGTTCAACTTGAATTCATTGGGTATATTCATGGACTTTTCAGTGTTGTCTTGAGTATCATGGGACTTGACTTAATTTTAACTTTTTAAATAGGTAAATACTATGAAACTGGTCATAGTGGCACATACCTGTAATCCCAGCATTGGGAGGCAGAAGCAGGAAGATCTAGAATTCAAAGTTGGACTAAGTCATGCATATCAAGATCTGTCTCAGCTTCTTTTCCCCTAAATAAAAGGTTCACACCAAAAAGAAGAAAGATAATATATACCCCTCCCCCACAAAATGGAGGAAAATGTATCCCGTAGCCCCAGTACTCAAGAAATTACAAAAAAGAGCTACGCACACACACACACACACACACACACACACACACACACACACAAATAGAAAAAGAAAAGAACACTTGGGCTGTTACCAGGCACCTTTGACCTTTTAACAGTCTGAATTTCAGTCTCTTTTAAATTTTAAATTCAGTTCTTGAATTTCCTTTTGTTAATCTCATGAGGTCTTATCCTATACATTAAGAATTTAAAGAAGGCTAATTACCCTTGGGGAATAGACAAAGCCACCTGATGTCCTCCTGTAGCCTCTGCATGCTTACACATGGGTACCGCCACTCCCCCAAAACACACACATACCCCCACACACACACACACTCATAATTAAAAATAAAGACAGCCATTTGGTGGCTTTGAACTCTGGGGCTTGTAACTCAAGTTTTCCTTATGTTGGCTGTTCACTAATACTTTCAGATTATAAATGTTGTGAGGAGGGTTTTGTTTTTCTTTTGATAGAGAGTATCACTGTGTAGTTAAGGCTGGCCTGGAACTTGAGATCCTCCTGCCTCAGCCTTTTGGAATGCTGGGACTATAGGCATTTACCATCCTGCTAGTTCATATAGCAGTTTTTGATTTTACAAGCATTATTTATAAACTTTAAATAATTGTTTTCTTTCTTTCCCTATTTATAAGGCTTTTTTTTCTTCTGATTTTATTCCTGTTAGCAGTTGTTTAACCCAGCTGGGTGTTGGGTTGCCTGTCTATAATTCCAGCACTTGGGATATTGGACAGGATAGTCACAAATTTGAGACTGACTGGATTGCACAGCAAGAGTCTGTCTCAAAAAGCAGACAGAGAGAGAGAGAGAGAGAGAGAGAGAGAGAGAGAGAGAGAGAGAGAATGTTTAATCCAATTTAAATATACATAACTTTTTATGAAACTAAGGCATATGATATAGGGTCACAAAGTAAAAATGTTTTGAACATACATTTCTAATGTAACAGATATTACAGACTTGTTACTTATGTTTGAACCAAAAGCATGAATGATACAATTAGAACTTTTCCTTTTAGGGCTGGAGGTGTGGTTTGGTATATTTGCCTGGCAAACACAAAGCCCTGTGTAGGTTTTTTTCCTCTTTGGGGGCCACCACCCAGCTCCCCAATAAACACATGGAGACTTATGCTTACTTATGAATGCCTGCTTTAGCTTGACTTGTTTCTAGTCAGCTTTTCTAACTGAAATTATCCCATTCCTCTTTAACTATGGTTTGCCTCTGGGCTTTTTATCTTTCTTTATTCTATCTATCTTTCTTTCCTTCCTACTTTGTGGCTGGCTGTGTGGCTGGATGGCTAGACCCTGGTGTCCTCCTCGCCTTCTCTTCTCTCACTCCTGGAATCTTCCCCTAGATTTCTCCTCCTATTTGTTCTCTCTACATGCCAGCCCTGCCTATTTCTCCTGCGAAGCTATGACCCTTCAGCTCTTTATCAGACCAATCAGGTGTTTTGGACAGGCAAAGTAACACAGCTTCACAGAGTTAAACAAATGCAACATAAAAGAAGGCAGCACATCTTTGTATCATTAAGCAGATGTTCCACACTATAAACAAATGTAGCACACTTTAAAATAATATTCCACAACAGGGCTGGAGAGGTTAAGAGCACTGGCTGGTCTTCCAGAGGTCCTGAGTTCAATTCCCAGCAACCACATGGTGGCTCACAACCATCTGCAATTCAATCTGGTGCCCTCTTCTGGCGTGTAGACAGAACACTGTATATGTAATAAATACATAAATCTTAAAAAAATAAAAGAGAACAATTTAAAAAATAAAAAAAAATATTCCACAACAGCCCCAGAGCTACAAAAAAAAAAAGCATCTCATCATTAATCTATTAAAACACAATGTGTTAATCAGAAAGATGTATCTTGCTCAGCGTTTCAGAGGGTGCAGCCCACAGGAGGCTTATGCTGCAGGTTTCTCAATTTCTCAATTCATGGCAAACAGTAAGCCCGGAGGAAAGACCGGGTGGTTAGAAACAGTTGTTACCAGGCAGTGGTGGCACACACCTTTAATCCCAGCACTCTGGAGGCAGAGACAGGTGGATCCCTGAGTTCGAGGCCAGTCTGGTCTACAAAGCAAGTTCCAGGAACAGTCAAAGCTACACAGAGAAACATGGTTTCAAAAGATCAAAAAAGAAAGAAAGAAACAGCTTTCAAAGCACCCCCACCCCCAGGGATCCACCACTTCCAAGAAGGCCTTAACTCCTAACTTACATCTCCTCCTGATGACACCATGCACTGTCAGTCAGTCCATCAAGGGACTAACCCACTGGTTAGGTCAGAACCCTCAGAATCTAGTCACATCCCTTAGGACCGACCACTGGTTAGCAATCGGGCCACTAATACTTGAGTCTGGAGAGGATATTTTTCCTTTTCTTTTCTATTGTGTTAGTATGAGTCTTTCACTTGCATGCATGTCTATGCCTCACATGTATGTAGTACTTTCAGAAGGTTCCAGGTCCCCCTGGAACTGCCCGTACAAATGGTTGTGTGTGCTGACAGTGTGGGTGCTAGGAATCGAACCCACATCCTCTGGAAGACCAGCATGTGCTTTTGCCCACTGAGCCATCCTGACAGCCCCTGTGGGGTTTATTTCACAGCGCATACACAGTGTGCACATCAGGAAGTACTGTCTCTTATATAAAGTACGTTGTCTTGTATAAGGTACGTGCTCTAATGTAACACACGTTTCCAGGTCTCGACACAGGCGATCTTCTTACAGTCAGTCAAAGTCTCGCTCTAAGTCACTACCAAGGCAGTCTACCTCAGCAAGGCAGTCAAGAACACCAAAAAGGAATTCTGGATCTAGAGGACGGTCAAGATCCAAGTCCTTACCAAAAAGGTCCAAGTCAATGGAAAAATCACACTCACGCTCACCTCAAAAGCAGATTGGCTCAGGAGCAAAATCGAGATCCCATGGACGACACTGTGATCACATAGCAAGATCCCCATACAAGTCTCCCAGAGGGTACACCAGCTCCGGAGCCAAGGCACAGACAGCAAAGCATTCTCATTTTCGGTCACATTCCAGATCTCGGAGCTATCATCATAAAAACAGTTGGTGAACAGAAACTTCCAGAGGAGCCACAGAGCTCTGCTCTAAGTTACTAGACCTCGTTTCAGTTAAAGTTCTTCAAGGCTTATAGACATCTGAACTGGTGTTAGTTACTTTGGGCATGTGGAAGGAATAAAATGCCCTAACTTTAATTAATAGATTCTGAGGGTTCTCGATTTAAGGGCTTATCCTCAAATGACTATGTGTACAGTATCTCCCTTGTATAGGGTGTATTTTGTTCACATTGTAGCAAGGGGCTATTTCCCAAAGGAAATAGGCAAAATGGAACCAATATGGAAATTCTACTTAGATACTAAATATTATCAATAATATCATTTACAAAAATATTTTTACTCTAAAGCACTTTTCACATAAAAAGTAACTGTGACTATATGTAATTGCATAGGCCAGACTTAAACTGTTTGACATCTGTGTCTTTCTTGTGACTTCTGTTTAAGCTTAGGCCAATTCTTGGTGGATATTAGTTCAAATTACAGCATTCTGAAATCTCAAAAGATAAAATTTATATAGAGATTCTGTAACTATTTAAAAGAACATTTCATTGTTTTTTTTAATACAACAGCATAGACCAGATGGCATGAAATGATATCCATGTTTGCTTAAAATATGAAAACAAAGCCAGGTGTGGTGGCACATGCCTGTATTCCCAGCATTTGGGAGATGAGGTAGGAAGCTCAAAACCAGCATGGACTGGGCTACACGAGACCCTGCCTAAAAATAAATAAATAAATAAATAAATAAATAAATAAATAAATAAATGCTTTTTAAAAAGTGAAACCATTTTAGAAGTACTAGATTTTGAATGGTTTGAAACTACTCTAAAAATTATGGTGTGGAACACTCAGAATCCATAAATACTCATATTAAGCCTTACATATTTGAAGTACAGTACATTTTGTATAAATTCATATCTATAACCATTATTTCTATATAGCTATTTTCATCTGCATTTTTTCTTTTTAGAGCTCTAGTTCAATATCCTAATTATGTACAAAGTCTTTTTTAAAGAGAATTAAATACTTAGTACATTATACAAAGAAGTACTATTTAATGAGATGTCTTGGTGAGTAAATCTACTCACCAGCCAAACCTGGAAACCTGAGTGCAAGCTGGGAAACTTGAGTTCAATTCCTGAACCACCTCAAAGGTGGAAGAGAACTGACTCCTGCAAACTGTGTCTGACTTCCACACTGTGCTATGGCATATGTGTGCACGTGCACGTGCGCGTGCACACACACACACACACACAAGTGCATGCAAAAACTTAAATTTAAAACTATACCTTCAAGCCAGACATGTAGCACATACACATGCCTATCATCCCAGCACTCAGGAAGCCTACCAGGAACTTGAGACCAGCCTGGGAAACCTGCCCTCTGGCTCTCTGACCCCCCACACACACACACACAAAGAAAAGAAAAAGATCTTCGTAAAAATAGCTTTGAGTCGAGGTGTTTGATTTTTACATTACACTACTCTACATTTTAAAAACCAAATAACTTTGTTGGCAGTTACTGCTTTTGTAGTTGTTGTAACTTAGAATTTCTTTTAAAATGTGTTTGAGGTTTACATTTCAGAAGGTTTTGGTAAATTTCTGATAAAATGGTTTGTATATGACTGTCATAGGAGATATGTTTACAGATTTACTTTGTTGAATCACATTACTGAAACTCACTGTCATCCGTTACAGCTAATATTTATGCCTAGAATACCTAAGAAACCTGTCTTACATTTTCAATATTTGGAGCCATGTTGCTTCCATTAATTTCCAATATAGAATTCCATATACTTTGCATTTTAAATCCTTTATGTGTGAAACAACTTTACAAAATAATTTGTACATTGATGATATTTGGAGAAATGCCACAAATAATGTATATTATACTCTCTGGATATATTTTCTCTATTTAACCATAGCAAAATTTATTTCAAAACTTCACTCTGATGTTCCTCAGTAATAAAGCAATTATAAAAGTATGGGAGACTGTTGCAAACTTCAGGGAGAGTTTTAAGTGCTGTCCTGACAGGTGCATTGGTTTGTGCTGTCATCTTCAATGACTAGTATATGAAAAGCCTTGCTTGGGTTCTTCAGTCCCAGCAAGGGTGGGGGTAAGGAACCAAAGAATCAACTGTACTTTTACAGTGTCTTCACACTTACCAGTTCATTTTATCAAGGGTGCATGACTTTTCCTGGGGAACCTTGAATTAATTTCTATTCACCACAAAAAAGGTTGCTAACAACACACCAAAAGTATTGTTCCATCCCAGTTTAGCTTGGTGAACAGGAAGGAGTCTTGCTTCCAGGCAGCTGTTCTGTAGAGAAAAGCTTCCCCCAGCAACTGTTTCTGTGTCCCATGTGCTGGCTCATGGGGCCCCCTCCCCTTTCTCCAGAAAATGTTAGTGGGCCCAGTCTTAGGAGGGTCCTATGATGTAATCATACCTGTTCTGATATCCACATGGCCATGGTCATGTCATGGCCAGAAAACAGGATTCCATAACACTTAGAAAAACGTTAATGCATTTCTGAACATATTTAAATTTTCTACTTATGTTTGTCTTGGATTTCCAGGATAATACTGTTAATCCCAAAGATGCAGGGAGAAAGTGAAAGGGTAAACTAAACTCAAGGGCTTCACTTCTAATAATTTAGAAATAAAGGACCAGACCCTCACTCAGACCCTGCTTTAGTAGCCATGACAGGCTACAGAAAAGACATGTAGGCCTCTGATACAAGGAAACTCCAGATCCTCTGGCTTCCCAGAGCCTAGGGCCAAAACTGAATGCAAAGAAAGTCCAGACCCTGCCACAAGCCTCCCAGATACTTGGTTCCTGGGAACTGTTTGGCCACAAAAGAAACTCTGGGGGAACCAAAACTTCCCCTATAGTCTACAGGAGTTCTGAAAACTATTGGTATCTATATATACAACAGGTCACCTGTAAGTAACCAGACTATGCCATAGAAACCACAGAATGGTCCCGCTTAGCACTGACCAATGAAAATAATTAGTGCACAGGTATTTCATGTCAATATATGACTTTGAGAAATTCTCCTAATTGTTTCTAAATGTCAATCAAAAACCAACTTGTACTTACTGATGTAATCCTGTAACTTTTGTCTTTAAAACCTAGCAGTAAACTGGCACACCTTTAATTCCAGCACTTGGGAGGCAGAGGCAGACAGATCTCTGTGAGTTCGAGGCCAGCCTGGTCTACAGAGCAAGTGCCAGGACAGGTTCCAAAACAATATAGAGAAACCCTATCTAGAAAAACCAAAACCAAACAAACAAAAAACAAAAAAAAAGTAAAAATAAGAAAAAAAACCATAGCAGTAGACAGGGAACTTCGCTCCCTCTGGAGGCTGATGCGATTGCTAACCAGGCGGGGTCCCTGTCATGGTTGGAAGAACAATTAATACAATTAAAACCTTACTTTTGCAGTTTAATAGGTCTGTCTTCCTGGTGGTCTCTGGGGACTTTGCAACTTGGGCACAACAAAAGAACACTGACTCAAATCATCAAATTAAAGTAAGCAACTAATTAAGACAAGCTTTTTTATTCATGTACACGGGCTGTTCCCCTCTAAAATCGAGGTTCAAGAGATCACCATTGGATATGAAGACAAGGATTTTTATAGCTGAGGGGTAGGGGGTTTCCAAATGAGTGATTTGGCAGGCAAATAGGTGGGGTTACAGAAGCAGAACGTAAGCATAACAAGTTAGTCATAATGACCTCCTGAAACAAAGACATGGTCGCAAGATGGTCATAACAAGGTAGTCATGACCACAGGTCTGTCATAGGTGGCCATATAACCTTTTGAAACAAAGGCATGGTTGCCATTTCCTGAAACAGGCAGTACAGAACCATTTGTAGTTAAGGTTAAAGGTGGGGCATATCCTCAAGCCCAATCCTTGAGAAACGGAGGTCTAATCATAAACAGGAATAAACCTAGTTTGTCTTTACATAAGATGGCTTTTAAGCCCAAGATTGAGGCAGGCTGCTTCATCAATACCTAATGCTTAGGAAGACACTGTTCAATTTACATTTTTCTTATATGTATGGACACTTTGCCAGCATGTGTGTCTGTGCATCAACCCATGCCAGGTGCCCCAGGGAGGCCAGAGGAGGGTGTCAGAACCCTGGAACTGGAGTTATATATGATTGTGAGGCACCATATGGGTGCTGGGATTTGAACCCGAGTTCCCAAGAAGAGCTGTTGACCACTGAACTATCTCTCTGTTGTGCCCAGATCGTCGAGTCCCCCAACAAGGAGACCATCCCATATGTAAAAGCAAAGAGACTTTCTTCAAGTTTGAACTCCTCTCCGAGTATCCAGCACATTGACAGGATCAGAGAGCCTCAAGCTCAGTTGGGGTGGGGTTTTTAGTCAAAGCAGAGATTGAGGTGAGGGATTCCTAAGATTCAGAATTCCTGATTGGCTGACATTTGTCTAGGGATGTCTGGTGAAAGGGGATGGGTGTGTGTGCTGGGCTAAGGGACATCAGGTGATCCTATCTACAAGGGTTGGAACATTAGGAATTTCCTTTGAAACATTAGGTACTTTCCCTTGGATGGTTGCATTCTGAGTGATCTCAGTCTCCGGTCTTTTCCTGGAGACAGGTGTTGCTTTAGGGTAAACTTAAAACTCAGGCCTACTTGAGCCTTGGCTTGGCAGCAGCGAAACAAAGCAGCAGGACTGTATCAAGTTGTCCTGGGCTCTATACTCTCCAGCCTCTTAAACTATTGTTTCTACTTTTTAAAGTAGGATTTATGCTGGGCGGTGGTGGGGTGTAGAGGTGAGCCCACATCCCTTTGGGGCGTGGACAGGGGTACGTGGGACAGGTGAGGATTTAAAGGGAAAGGAAAAGCAAAAGTTTGCTCTCTTGGAAGCCGGCCACGCTTCTCATCTTTCCAGCTTGTGAGTAAGTGCTTTCTCCTGTTAATAAAAATACTTGTTTCCCCATTGCATTTCCTCATCAGTGGGGCATGCCTTTAGTCCCAGCACTTGGGAGGCAGAGGCAGACTGATCACTGTGAGTTCAAGGCCAGCCTGGTTTACAGTGGGAGTTCTAGGACAGACCCCAAAGCTACGCAGAGAAAACCCTATTTCGAACAACAAACAAAAGAAGTAGGATTTATTTTAGCTTATCACAGTTCAAGACACAGTCCACCACAGTGGGGAAATTATGGTGGCAGGAGCAAAAAGCAAGAAATAAATGCTGTGCTCAGCTATTTTCTCCTTTCATAGAGTCCGAAACCCATTCTCATTCAAACCACTCCCTGGCCCCCACAGGCTCTTACCCTATCATAATGCAAATTGTAATTAGTCCAACTTCAAAAGTTCCCATAGTCCTTCATAGTATCAACACTGTTTAAAAGTCCAAAATCTATTCTGAGACTCAAAGCAATCTCTTAACTATAAGCCCCTATAAAACAAAAAAAAATATATAGATCATCATTCCAAAAGGGAGGAAAGGGGCATGATGAGGAAGTAAGACTAAAAACCAGCAGGGCAAACTCCAAATCCAACTTGTCTGTGCCAATGTCAAAGGGCTTAGTAGACAGCTCTTTGTCTTCCCTTCCTTTTAGCTTTGCTGACTGCAACACACTACCCTTTAGGATTGCTTGCATATCGCACCTGCCTCTGCTTCTTCAGCATACCACATGGACCAGATGTGAGCGCCCAACTACCTCTCCAGCATCAGGCCTGTCTGCTTGCCATCGTAGACCCTGTCCTACTTAAATGCTTTCTTTTAAAAGTTGCCTTGTCATGGCGTTTTGTCACACAACAGTAACCCTACCTAAGAAAGAAGTTGATTCCAAGAGCGTTGGCTCACCCTGAGGGCACCTTCCTTCCATGGCATCTGGACTTTTCTTTACATATCTCATCCTCTTGAGCACAGGATTTGACTCCAACATTACATTTCCCGGTGTTCTTTTTCTTTTACATATCTTTTTGCCCTATTTACTCTTTTTATTAGAGATCTGCATAAGCATGATCACTAATGGCCACAGGACATAGTCAACACTCAGACCGTTTTGCCAGACAGTAGTGGTATACACTTTTAATCCCAGCACTCGGGAAGCAGAGGCAGGCAGAGCTCTGTGAGTTCAAGGCCAGCCTGGTCTACAGGACTACTGGGTTACACAGAGAAACTCTGTCTCAAAACAAACAAACCAAATACCATAACAACAAAAAAAAATAGGTTATCTTGAAATCTCCCCTGCCAATGACATTTGTTCAATTTAACTTCAGTGAGACTTTTGGGCAAGGGCAAAAAGTAGGTATATTCTTTCCAAAAAGTCTTAAGAATGGTTTCTAATATTCATTTCCTCTGAAACCTCTTGAGCTGGGCCTCCACAGTCCATTTTGCTCTCAGCACTACTGTCTTCCATATTCCTACTAGGATGGTTCCTTAAGCCCCACTTATAACATTCAATCATGTTTCCAGTCCAAAGTCCCAAGGTCTTTCATATTCTTCCAACAGATAACATGATCAGGTCTGCCACTGCAATATCCCACTCCTGGTACCAAGTTCTGTCTTAGTTATTGTTCACTATCACTGTGACAAAACACGATGACCAAGACCACTTTTAAAAGTTAGCATTTAATCAGGGGCTTGCTTACAGCTTCAGAGAATTAGTGAAGGACCACAGGGGTGGAGAGCATGGTGGCAGGCAGACAGGCATGGCACTGGAGTTCAATCTAGTCTGAAAGTTCCAAGAGAGAGAACAAGACTGGGTCTTGTTTGGGCTTTTGAAACCTCAAAGCCTACTCCCACTGACCCACCTCCTTTAATAAGGCCACGCCTTCTAATCCTTCCTAAATAGTCTACCAACTGGGAACTGAACTCAGATATATGAGCATATTGGGTGGGGAGGGCATTCTCATTCAAACCAGTATAGTCTTTTTTCCTCAGTTAACCTAGTCAACATAATTCTGGACTGGCAACCTCAGAAGCTAAACGATCCCTCACAGTGT